ACGTACGTACGTCGTCCGTCGTCGTCGTGTGTGTGTGTGTGTGTGTGTGTGTGGTGTGTGTGTGTGTGTGTGTGTGTGTGTGTGTGTGTGTGTGTGTGTGTGTGTGTGTGTGTGTGTGTGTGTGTGTGTGTGTGTGTGTGTGTGTGTGTGTGTGTGTGTGTGGGAGAGAGAGAGAGAGAGAAACAATGCAAGACACTATTATCTCAAAAACATTGTTAGTAAAGAAACTGTGACATGTAAAGAAAGGATTTTCACTAAAACTGTGATGTTACATCCCTCAGAGATGTCTATTCTTCTTCTTTTTTAAAACCCATACTGTGAGAAAGGAACTAGATTATCTGAAAGAATACTTATTTTTGTTTAAACCAACAGTGTGGGGACACCTGCCAGAGACAGTCACAGGGACTGACCATAAAACAGGAAATGGATATAAAAGAAGAGGGAGGGTCTGGAGGGGGAGGTGTTTTGACTCTGGGATGGGGGAAAGGAAGAGGTAGATGTTAGATCTGAATTGATTGTTGTGATGGTTGAAGGTAGATAAATGGGCTAGGAAGAAGCAGAAAAATAACTTGTTTGTAAAAAGGACAGCACATCTTTTTTTCTCAAATGTATGTTAGTTTCAAGAAAGATGAGAGGTGCAAAATATCCTGCAACCCTTCAAAAAAGAAAAGAAGGTACAGGTAAAGTATGTTGAAAAATTTCACAAAAAGTGAGTTGTATGTAAAAATCTCTGTGTAGTTTTTCAAAATATAATGAACGAAGTCATAGAGAGAAGAAAATAGCACAGTATGTGGAACATATGAAAACTGTTAAGGTGAGTGAAGCAGGCAGGACCGAAATGCAGAATAAACAGAAAACATACCTTTATTTCAAGGTCTTTAAGGAACAAACAGAACACTACCTCGTGAACGCAGTCAACGACAAACAATGAACCAACAATGACAGACAGAAAAACCAGAACTTAAATACACAAAAGACTAATCACACAAACAAGACACAGGTGAGGAGGGAGGAGAAAACACAGGGGCACCAGGTGAACACAATCGGGTAATCAGGTAGGAAAACAGGCAGAAAGCGACAGGCAAGACAGGGGGAGAAGACTTTTCAAAATAAAACATGAAACCAAAGACAGAAAAAGACAAGACAAAACACAACACAGACAGATCGTGACAGCTTCTTATGACTCTGACACTTTGAGAGATGTGTCCAGATGTTTCCATGAAGGCAAATATTCAAGATCTCTAAAACGTCCAAAAGCCTCCCCATGTAGTTTCCTAAACATAGTACAAATAATAAATAATAAAGCTTTATTTAACACTTTTCAATATTAAAGAACAAAAGACCATTTTAAAGAGGGGTAACACTAATAAAAAGCTAATCTAAAAAGATGTGCATTGGTATACTGCAGTTACACTGTATATATAAACCCAGCGCAGAGCAGCAGTGAGAGAGTGTGCGAGGCTGAGGACAGTCAAACTGGAAATATCTATCTAACTGAATTTTTCATCACGGTTTCTCTCTTTCTCTCAGAGCACGCTCGTTAACCGACCCGCCCTAGGTATCCTGCCGCCGGAGAACTTTCCAGAGAAACTAACCGAAAGCCTCGTCTCTGTGAGCAACACACACACACACACACACACACACACACACACACACACACACACACACACACACACACACACACACACACACACACACACACACAAACACACACTCACATAACGTTTTTCTGAATTTAAATTACTGAAAAGAGCAGATACATGTGTTATTAGCTCTGTTAAGCCGGTTGAGGGCTGTAATGTGTCCCCCTCCTGTCAGGTGGCCCCCAGTGGTATGACTCGAGTTCAGACCATGGCCTGCGGATCCTGCTCCAATGAGAACGCTTACAAAGCAATGTTCATCTGGTACAGGGTGAGTACTCATCCCAACTTTTGAACTGTGTTCAGAAGTTTCCAGCTGCCTCTCTGCAGCGCTCAGACCCCTGAGAGAAACCAATGAGGGACAAAGGGAGAACATGTGACCACAGAGTGAGGCAGAGAGACACACTTTAAGAAAATCAGTCTGTTCTACAAAAGACTGACAAAAATTAGACACACGTCTCCCTGACGATAACAAGGAAACTGAGCTGTCTGGGTAATTGAGTGAAAAATAAGAAGGTATTTATAATCTCAGCAGCTAAATGTCCATGTAGCTTCACTGTGTGTTTGCTTCTGCCACAGAACAAGGAGCGGGGCCACAACACCCCGTCTGAGGAGGACCTCAGCTCCTGCATTATCAACCAGGTGGGGGAACACTTCTTTTTACATTTCATATTAAAGTATGAAATGTTTGCATATTCTGGTATCGTGTCTCTTACCTCTCTGTTTGTCTCTCAGTCCCCAGGCTGTCCAGAACTCAGTATTTTATCTTTCATGGGGGGTTTCCATGGAAGGACCATGGGTATGTGAATTAAGCCTTTTATACACACACCTGATGGTTGCTGTTCTCCAACAGTGTTTTGAGGTGCTCTGTTCCTTTTGACACATTGCTAATGCATTCTGAACCAGCAGCTGTCTCGCTGAGCTACCAGAATAAAGCCCTGGAGGGAGGCTCAGTGGATTCATTCTGCGGAATGTTAACACAAATAGACATTTCACTTAAACACTACAGATCTGTTTCTGCTTATTTATTAGATTAATTCAGTCCCCTTGACATTGAAGGGTTATCTTTACAACATCTGAATGACCTGAACAGGACACACATCCTGGAACACTTTGAAGGGCTCAAGCCGGTTCAGTGTAGGGTTTAAATTAAAGGGGACTTATCATGCAAAGTGCACTTTTTACAAGCAGATCCAGAATTTTCGCTCCTATAACATCATTGGCGACATCCGGCCGACGTGACACGTCCCACTTATCGTCTCTGGCACACGTGACACGTCCCAACCTATCGTCTCCGTATACAGTCGCAGCTGTGTGTCTGTGCATTCAGCAGCATGTCTGCTGGAGGCTTAGACTAACGTTGTTATATATATAATACATATAATAATAATACATTTAATTTATATAGCGCTTCTCATCTGCCAAGACAAATCTCAAAGCGCTTTGTTCCAGCGGTAAACACTTAAGAAAGAACATGTCAAGTTATGTGCTGTATCAGAAACAATGCACGGCGTGTTTAGGGAGTAATATGCTGTGTGTTTACATTAGCAAGCATGCTAACACTCAGAGCTAGCCATGGAGCTAACGCTGTAGACTACTGAAGAGAATATGTGAAACGTAATGTCCTTGTGGTAAACCCTGCGAGAGATAAAGGTTTGAGCTCCATACTGTTTCAGAAATAAAGCTTGGTTAGTGGTTAGGAGCTTAACATGGCATTTAATCACCGCAGCGTTTAGCTGAGATCTCCCGGTAGCAGGGGAAAGCTGCGTGACGCTACAAAGGGGCGTGGCTAGCAGCAGAATCAGGGCTGCAAAAGAGGGGTATGAGCAGTAAGAGGCATGGCTACAATGGGTGATCTGTTTGGTATTTTAAGCAAAAAACTTCACAGACATGTTTTGTATAGGTATGGCCCTACAATATATTTTTCCAATATAGCATAATAGGTCCACTTTAAAGGTCCCATTACATGCTTTTCCGGTTATTACCCGTCCCCTTGTGTGTTATGTTGCTTTTTCTGCATTTAAATGGTCTGCAGAGTCAAAAACCCTCAAAATACACCCGGTAGCGAGTAACACTCTAACACAGAAAATACCTGTCTATGCTGCCCCAGAACGCCTCGTTGGAGATTTTTCATTTTCAATTTTTTCTTCCTGGGTATGGTGACATAACCATACCCAAATGGACCAATCCGCGGAGCCGTTAAGTTAAGTCCGCGGATTGGTACAAATCCGCGGACTTCCTCACACACACACACTCAATCTTTTCTCAGCTGCTGCTCCGC